GCTACTTTACTTGTCCGAACTGGCATTTCCTCGTAGTAAACAAGACCTCAAGTCTGCAAAAGTGGTCACAAGAGCATGGCCGCTGCGATTTCTCAGCAGCTGCACTTTTAGAACAATAGATACGCGATCCAGTTTTTCTTAGATCAGTGGTTTGAATATATGTTTAGTATATCTATTGAGAGAGCCCCTCCTTAAGAAACTCCCCGTAATACAAATATCAATTATCTATATTCATTTATAGCAATTTTCTGTTTTCCAACGTTTGTATTCTTGTTATATAGTCTTAGTCACTTGTTGCATATTGAATAAGGTTTGGTATTGGAATTTTAAAATTAACTGAAATGAATGAAATAAATTTACAAACATTTATTTCTGCCACATTATACAAATTAGAGAAGTTTTAAAACACAGTTTATCTTTTATCAGTTTCAAGATGCAGTATGCCAAGCCAATTTGGATTGTATATCCTGTAACACACTCAATGAACAAAATAGGAGGTTACAAAATCAACTGAAGTCAAACAAAAGAAAGTTGAGGATTTTGCAATGGAAAACAAGAAAAATGCAGCAGAAAGAGACAAAGAAAACCAACCAGAATGTATTTAACAAAGATTATCTGGGTGAGATAGAAACAATTAAGGTAGATGAGATTGCTAAAAATGTCTCAGATCAAAATGAGAGTTTTGAGGAAGATGATGACACCGATGAAAGCTTTGTAGAGGATGAAGAAGTCACTGATAGAGAATCAGAAGAAGATGAACCTGAATGGTAAATACAGACTTAATTTTTTTGGCTGCTAAACTAAACCCTCCATATGAGACCATCTTTTATGAACAAAATCATAGACTCCTTCAAATATACAAAATCTTAAACTCTTTATTCTTTATTATTTTAGCATATACCCGGAAGAGAAAGGGCCCAAATTTATTGTATTTATATCTCAATTACTTCTGTTGCTTCAGTTTTGTCCAGTCTGCAAAGAGGACAATCCATAAGGATATCAAAAGTATCAAATATGTATCAAAGAGGACTTGAGACAAAAAAGATAGGGACAATGGCAGAGGTTCGAATTCTTTGTGCAAATCCCAAATGTCAAAAGAGGGAGAATGTATGGAGAAGCCAACCGCAAATGGGAGGGACTCATATTCCGGCTGGCAATCTGTTGTTGTCATTTGCAATATATCTTGCTGGAGGAACTGCCACAAAAGTGCTACTTGACTTGCATGCATATCGTTGAAAACATTCTTCAAACACCAGAGGGTAAGCAGTGTGTTTTTTACTTTGCTTGGGTTAGGCAGTTTTTTAGCCTCGTCACAATCTTCCCATAATCAGAAATGAATTAAATGCATTTTTTGGCTTGAAAAATTAAGAAATCTTTTTCACCTCCAGGAAAAGCTCTTTCCAGCGAGTTCTCTGTATTGGAAGCAGTACCAAGAAAATATCCTTGATTTATTGAAAGAATCAAATGAGAACCTTGTGATCTGTTGAGATGGACGACATGACAGTATGGGGCTACTTTGATTGATGATAGACTTGATAAAATACTTTTTTCTTTGTTTAAATCATGTCAAAACATTTAGAAAAAAATTTCTGCATGAAGTTCAAAATATATAAAATGATCTGATTTATCTTGCTTGAAAAATATAATCATTTGCAGGCAATCAAGGAATTTTATTCATTCGCAGAGAAATGAAGTTGGAAGCAGCCCCTTGATGGAATATGGAGGTTTTGTGAGATGTTTGTCATTTCTCAAGCTTCATGAACTTAATATTGATGTTTTTGTTTCCGATCGTCACATTTCAATAGCCAAACTTATGCAGGAAAAAGAGAATTGAATTACACATTATTTTGACTTGTGGCATTTGAACAAAAGTATGTTTATCTATTAACTTCTTCCTGTTTTAAAACAAATATTTTCAACAGTACAAAACTACAGGTAGCCAGCTAACTATGAATGTAATGTTTCGAGCAGTTACGAACATTTTTACCCCATTTCAAAAATTTCAGAAATCCGGAAACTACTCAATAGGATTGCTGTATTGAAGGACTGTGAAGAGGTATCACATTGGGTACAACCTTGTGTCAACCACTTGCATTGGTCAGCAGTGACAACTCCCAGTGATGATGACAATTTGATATGGAACAGAGTGCATTTGTAATCCGGAGTTGTCACTTGCAATACGGACATAGACATAATCTGTCTGATATATTCACAGACAGATCCTCATAGACAGAATATGGGGTATTGGCCAATCAGGTTACAGTTTTTCATTATGGACATATAGCCCGCCACAGGGATCCGAATTACACATTAAAACCTTGTTTGGTTGTCAAATTATATTTACACAAGGACTATTACCAGCATCAATCCGCATGTGGTCTGAAGGAATTCGAAACTATGCAAGAAAGACAATAGACATGTACTTCGCTGCTAGCTCTGCGCTTTAATTATTGTTTCAAATTAGTACAAATGTACAAAGTAAACCATTCTTTACTTTCATAATCGTTGACAATCGGATTCCAATGACAGCAAAAAGCCTACACAATAAAATACAAAGCTAGTTACATAACAAATTCCAAAAAATCTTACGGTAAAACCGCTCGACAACTGGGCTCTACAAAAACGGACAGCCAAGCCATGAAAGTTTTTTTCAAAACAAACGTCTACCAGATTTACAATATTGAATTCTTTATCTTCAACTTATGTTGAAATTATAGCGAAAATAGAGGCTTGGGGACAGGATTTTTTGTAAGTAGCAAAATGATTAATTAAAGATATTATGTACTATTATATGGGGTACATTTAATATTTTATTTCTTTGAATACTCGTTTTATCCAGATTGTGTACATAACAGTCATACACTGGTACGTGTTTGTTAGAGAAGATTAAAGTTCGGGGGCAGGCCAGAAAGGGATACGGCATTTACGATGAGAAACTCTTTCAGGGGCCTGTTGTCTTCGATCTTAGTTAAAAGAGCCGAGCATTTAATTTGGGCAGAAGTACTATGTTGATGGGTGTAACCGTTACAGAAATTAAATGACAGCTTTTTTATATTTCTACTGAGAAAACTCACTAAAACTAACCTGTTAGTAAAGGTTCTGAGCAATTTAGAAACTTTAATAATCCCTGCCGCCAAGATAAAATAATAGAACTACTATTTTATCTTGCTACTGTGTTATCACTTCAAGAAACTTTATGTTCCTGTGTCTTGTTGCGACTGGCAATTTTTTGCATAATTTTTTCACTCGCGATAGAAATTGTGATGATATAAATTTTGAAAAATCTAATCTTATTCTGTTAGGTACTAGGTTGAACAACTCTAATCTTTTCTTCATTCTCGAAATTGATAAAGCCATTTAAAGATAAAGATAATTTGTTAATCGGCTAATTTTTTGTCATTTGGTAGAAAGAAACTCGTAGAAACCTATATTTAAGGGCTGAACTTTGCTGTAATGACCCTTTCCGTACATTTTTGTTGTAAATTTGAGTGGCCCTTGGGTTTGATGATTGTAAATAACAACTCAATCTAGAGAAAAATCATCCTTTTCACGAAGGATCTTCACCGCAATTTGATGGTCCTTTTCAAGTGATGCTCTGTCCACCCTCCACACTCCACATTTGACAAACTCTGTTTTTAGTGCAGAGCCCCACTTGAAAATTTGTTGTTTTTTTATTACGTCAGTTTTCTTTTTGTTAAAATCAAACATATTGTTGGGCCTTGCAGTGGCATATATAACTGCTACTTGGTCCTCGGCTACTTCAGGCACACCAAGAACGACACGACCAAGGTAAAAGGTGTTTGTAAGGCAGGTGTACGCCACAAAGTCATCATGTTTCAGGATCATCTACGAAAGATAGAACAGTTAATTTTCTAAACGCTATGAGAGACGTAACTGGGGCGACTTACTTTCTAATATATGTTTATGCTGTTATTTTTGCAGTAAGAATTGAAAAAATGTACTTTATTTAGCTGTAGTTTGAATGTCAAGTACATTAGCATTTTATCTTTTGAAAATAAAAACTCATAGTTGTCTTGCATAGTACAATTTTTGAAGTCATCGGGAAGAAGATATTGCAAATTTGAAAGAAAGATAACGAAAAATCGTACTTTGTCTTTTCGGTCATTTGAGGGTTCTGAGTCGCTTTCATAGTCAAATGACAGGGACTGTAGTAGCTCAATACCTTGTGCAGCCGATTCTTCACACAAATCTCCTTCTGACTCCGCGAATGAACTTTCGAGTTCTGCCGATCCAGCTACGTAAGCCTCGAAGTCGTCATCTATTGCTGTCGTAGACACAGTAGCCAAAGATTTCTTTTTCTGAAATGCCAAATTCTATAATAAGTTTAAAAATTCAAAAACATAAGATATAAAACATGTGTTGACGGAACTAATTTCTTTATTCGGGGGATTGGAAGGAGGAGGATGCTGACAAATAAACGATTGATTAACAAAGGGCTGCAGCCCTGGAATAATGCTCGTCATCTCGCTTGCATCCGTTGATGCCGAATTCTCTTCCAGGATGTCAGTGAAAGGTAGGGCCTGAAAATCAAAACGTTCATATAGGAGATTACGGCAATCAATTCTTAATTTAGATATTAACTTGATGTGCACATTCAACATAAAAAGTAAAATTTGAACTGAAATTTTCAAGTAGATTGTATGGATGTAATTGAAAGAGTTTGGGTATCATTTAGCAACAGTAGATCTTACTGATAATTGTAAGGACAGCTGCATTTTTGCATCTCCCGCCCCCCATATCCTCGCCCCTTCGCACAGCTTTTGCTATTTTGGTATATATACTTTACCAAGAATAGGCACTTTTTTATAAAAATAAAGTATATAAGAATATTGAGGCTCAAAATTGCTCAACTTTCATCAAGACTAAAATTTTTCCTTAATCTGGAATTTTCTCCCAAAGCATTTAATATCACTTGCTGAAAATTATAATGAAGCAACACATCAAAAAAAATTTAATATTTTTCTTGATCTTAAGACGAATTTACATGATATTGAGGCTCGACAAAAAATTTGGTATTCTTATAAAAAGTGTGTATAATGTTTGACTTGACCCTCTCTCGCTGACCAATTCTTTCACTAACAGTCTGATACCGAGAGTGAGAGTCTTTTGCCAAAATTTTGAAGAATTAAACCAGCAACGCACCTTAAAAGCGCTTTTCGTATATTTTCTGTTGCCCTCTTCTAGTTTTTTGGGCTCTGGAGTTGAATTATACATCTAAAAAATCAACATTTAACTTAATCAAAAGATTTGAACTAGGAGGGATTTCGAAAAGAGTTAAGTTTAATTTGCATCAACGTTTGTTCATCAGCTGGAATCGTATGGCTAGAAACGTAGGAATAATATAAATGGGTAGGGCACTCATCATCAGTCTTATCAAGGCTGGCAAAAGTGCCCTGTGACACAAAATATCATAAGTATCTTGTGCTTCGTGCATCCCTTAGAATTGACAGTTGATTTAATTGGAATCATCTTTGAAGCTTCAACATATTTGATAATGTATTACAACTTCGTTTTACACACATTGATTCAGCTCCCTCCCTCCCACTATTGGTAGGTCAAGGTAAGATTATCGACTTGTTTCTAACTTCATTTGTCTCTAATAGTCTGCTTTTGAACAGGTTTGAATTGGATTCTTCTGTCAAGCTGGAGAGCTGAGACTGGAGTTCCGCTATAGTTTTGTCTTTGGCTTGTAAACGCCTTTCAACATTAATTCTATACTGAAATATAATGGAAATTTTAAGTTACATCATATTCTACTAAAAATTATACAAATCAGACATTGAACAGGCCAGTAGCGGCACCACAGATGGGGGGAGGGGGGTACTGGGGGACACGCCTCCCAGTTCTTGGCATGATGAATTTTGTATTCCGTCTAAATTCTCGAGGAAAGGTTAGGGAGGGCTAATATTTAGCAATTTACTTATTTTGTTGCAATCCTTCGATTTTGAAGCTCTTATGTAACCAAAAGTTAGTAATAGGCGTTCCTGCAGGTAAAATTTGCGTTCTTTTTGATAAAAGTACGTTTTGGGCTGTAAATAGGACGTGGCCTAAATTTTTTGTTTGTTCCCCCAGAACCTTGTGGCTGGCGCTGCCACTGAAACAGGCAGCGTTTAGTCCGAAAAAGAGAGCATACCTCATCAAAATGAGTCCTTCTACTTTTGAGGGCATCATAAAAATTTTTCACCTCTTCCTCCAAATTGAAAATAGTACGTTGATTCTACAGGAAAAATACGAAACAATTATTTTAATTCACCACTCACAATCTCCAAGATACATATTGCTAGATCAAAGATCTTTGATCCAGGTCCAACCCAAATATGCTACGCAAAATGGGAAGACTACAAAACAGGAATTTAATGCTTCCTTTCAGCATAATACTTCAACTTATTAGAATGCCAGTGAATGATCGAACAGTACAACAACGCTGTCACGATTCTAGAACAGGAAAATTATTGCAGAACAGGAAAATTAAGATGGTGGCTTATCAAAAAAAAATCAAAAAGCGCTGTTTGATGGCATCGCGGTCACTTTATCTAAAATATGAAACCTTTGTCTAGATTGTATTGACATTGCTGTCTCTAAGTCTTATGTTATCTTGAAATATATGAACAGATCACTCACCTTTCTGATCTCTTCTTCTGCGTCATTTAGCTCAGCCTTCATTGTCTTGATGTATCCTTTCAATCGACAGACCTAAAAGAAGTGCCTTTTTATCCATTGGTACAGAAATTCTTATGTTCTACTATTTTCTAAGAAATTCAATATATAATCAAGCCTATATTCCACTCTAAATCACATTTAGAGTTTTTAAGAGTCTATAAATGACCAAATGAAGTTAAGGAAGAATTTATTATCACAACATACCTGATCATTTAGTTCAGAAAATTCGGAAGCTTTCCAGCGCTTTGAATTAAAAGTCAGGGCGTCCATATCACCCTCGGCTGATGAAGATGTTGTCTAAATGTGAGGATATTTTTTAAGGATATCAGTAGTGAAAGGTTAAAGACATTGAGGGGCATTTCGCTCTTGCAAATAGCGTACGAGATTTTCCCTAAAGCAGAAGGATTTCCGGGGATTTTTCAGATAAAACAATAGGATTTTCACAAAAGATATACGAGATTTTTTTGGAGTGATTTGCACCTCGAAAGATATGATGTTGATTTCACAGAGTATTTAGGAAATTCTTGTCACTAACATGTATTTTTAAAAGAACTGTAAAGGCTGGTTTTCATATAAGTACTTCGTTGTGATTCATCGCAATTCACAGTCGATGATAAAGATCATTTCTGTGATATCAAAACTGGTCAAACTATATGAAAACAGCCTATCATAAATAATTCTAATAGAACTTGATTCAACGTAACTCATTTGAAGAAAGCATGAATTTATCTGGATTTTAGGACCCAAACTAATCCGAGCTCATGAATATGTTAGAAACTGTAATAAATGGATGGCATAATCAAATATTTTTAGTAAATAAAAACTATTATTCAGCTTGTCAGCACATATTATCACAAAAGTGACTTCATTAAGGAAAACGGAACAAATTAACAACCAAGGAGCTGACAGTCTTTTCTGGGGGGAAGGTGGGGTGGTGGTTAACATGCTTACAATCGAAAACAAGGCAATTAATTTTATGGTTTTACTTACATTTTGGAACTTTTTTGGCGAAGCCTTTTCAGTAATCTCCGTTCTGCAGTCCCTGAATATATTGGAAGGGGCCAAGAGAGTGCGACCTAAAAAACCTGCTGCACACCCAGAATTTACCAATATTTTCAACGTATGAGCTAAAATTTGATCCAACACTATCTTATGAACATCTAACAGTTTAGATAAAATAATGAAATATTTGCAAAACCTACAGGTGTTGAGGGCTGTTCTGTTGCTACTCGTCGTCTCCGCTGCCTTTTTTCTACATTTAGGTGCTTCAGCGTTGCCTCGCCATTCACAATTGCACTCAACAGACGATACTGCTCGTCCTCTTTCTCTCCTTGGAGAGAATCGAAAGTGGATAGGGAAATTTTTTGGGCAGACGTGCTCTTCTTCATTTCCCCATTCTGCAGCTCCTCATCGATTTTCATTATTTGTGCGAAGCAACGTTGACTTACCGCAGCCAACTTGCAGATTTCTTTGTATCGAAAGTTCTGTAAAAAATTAAATTTTAGAATTAAAACTGGATGTTGAACTTAATTAAATAAAAATCTATATATCGATCTTCAAACTGCTAGATCAGAATATATCAGTATAGTTTTTTGTAAAAATAGTTTAAAATCCCAAAGTTTATCTATTTTTCGATTAATATCCCTAAGATAAAGTTTTCTTCGAAACAGGGTGTCATTTTCGGTATTTTACAATTTTTACTTCTTTAGGCTCGAAAAGCAAAGACCCCTCTGAATAATGTATTCAACTTACCTCATTTTCCATGCCTGATTCTTGGAGCTTTTTCCTAAAAACCGCCTTCTCCCTACTTGTCAGCAGGTCGGCTGCAGCCTCTACCCAAGCTTACGCCGCGAATTCTTGGATAAAACTCTGTTAGAACATTTCGCGCCCGTACTATATGTTCTGAAATTGTGAACTTTCGTTTATTAGCAACACTGCTAACATGCGTATCTTTCTCATGGGGTTGAATTGGTATTTGTCCCGGACCAAAAACAGATGGATGCTGTAAGCGTGCTGATGCCCCTGGAAGTGTCTCGCTCGATTCAGCGTCTGCCCAGGTCAAAGAATGACACTGTGGAAGATATTCCAAAACTTCTGAAAAAGCGTCACAATCGCTATCTTTCTCTTCCTTGCCTTCATCAGAAGACATGTTATAAATCTTACCACTTGCTAATAAAATTTTTTTATTTTGTGGACCACAACAAACCATTTATAGATTCATTTAGGTTCTGTGTGAGCCCCATTTAACACCTAATTTAACAGTTTTGCTTCTGACAGCTTTGCAAAAAGTGGCTTGAGTTCATCATAAAAGACACTTGGCAGCCCTTTGTCATCACAATATTCTTTATCATTTCTGCAAAACCTGCACCATGTATCAGAGGATGAGTGTTGTTGTTCAAGAGACTCATTATAATTTCTGACCATGTGTTTGAAAAATGCCTTTGTATATTGTGTCTTTGTCTCAAATATTATTTCTTATTGCCTGTCCATAGAAGTTTTGCATTTTGTCGCAAATATTTTAAGTCCACCTTTACCTCCAATTGTTTTACCATCATTTAACTTCATGGAAAAATTGGCTCCGCACAGGTCACGTGATCAAAAAAATTGCTTGCACTCTTGTGCGCATTAAATTCGCACTCCTGTGACTATCGCTAGGAAGGGGGGAGCCTCTACCCCCTTTCTATTTAAGGCTCCCCCTTCCTAGCGATAGTCACAGGAGTGTGAATTGAAGTGAAGTGAAGCAACATTCAATCAAACCTTTCATCAAAAGCCAATATACCACGGCATGAGAGGAGCTTCATTCTCCACAGAACGGTCATGCTATTACTTTGGTCTTTTTCATAGCAAATGAAGGAAAGCAATAGTACACTGTGAAGCAAGCGCCAACCACTAACTCGCAAGCGCAGAATACCACAACGCATGCTCAGAATCAACAGTCCGGTAAAGCTGCAGTTATTGGTGAGTTAAGACGTAAATATAGATCCTGATTTGTTCAGAAATTGGTATATGGACACTTGTATTCGTAATCGTATAACAATCGTATTCGAATTTAAAAGTATTATTTCTTCACAATCAAACTGGGGAGTGTGTTGGAATGTACCCCTGGATCTGCAGTCATGAGTTATGTAGGTTATAAAAACAGCGTGTTGCACATAATTCGAGGCTGCACACTGTGATTGAGTTTTTTATGGCTAAATAAATTGCTGTTCAATTTGTTATGTTTTTATAAATAGTTCAAAAATGCAATCAAATGCCTTTTCGCTTCTTCGCCTACTTTACAACACACACGATGGAATTTGGCCCTAGCTCCATGTACTTTTTAATAGCTACAAATTCTTTTTCTATACCCCATATCATGGCTACTGATACTGGCCTTTTCGTTGACTGTTCCATAATCGAGGAAACAAGAGAAACTGGTTCTTTATTTTGTTGTCATTTTAACACCTTTCCGAAAATTTTAGCTGTTAACTGCTTTCTTTTTTCTTGGAACCAACTTTCTATAATATTCTGCTGAATTGTTTGCGGGCAAATCTGTTTGGCATCATCAAGGGTAACCCCTCTGAGTTGGCAGAGCATTCTGAGTTATATCACCACTGTCTAGTTTCTCTGGTATACCATCAAGATTTGGCTGGTTTGATGGCACTTTTTCAAAGAACGATTCTATGTTGATAAATTTTTTTGATAAATTTTATAAAATTTATTGCTTTCCGAGGACAAGACTATACCTGATCAAGCAAACCTGCGTCGTAGCCCAAGAAAAATTAGTTTTCCTTGTGATGCTTCATCAAGAAAACCGATGATGAAAACAACCAGCAAATTTTTTTTAGCCTTGGACCTGAATATTGTATTGAGCAGGTTGCAAGAGATTCGAAAGTTCATTTTTACACAGTGTTTGAGGATTCAGCTATGTTTAAAATGGTATTTGATCATTTGTTCCCTGTAGCTAGCCGTATGCAGTATTGGAAAGGCGACAAGGAGACCCTGAGAGAAAATCCAAAAGACATCAGCGTAGAATTCGAAGATGAAGCACAGAAGGCAGGGCTGACAACGTTGCGACGAGGTCCTGCGAGGAAGCTACTGTTGGAGCAAGAATTCTTGCTGGTCTCAATGAAGTTTAAATCTGACCTACTCATCCAGGACCTCGCTTACAGATTTGGTGTTTCGGTTGGCCTTGTGACTTCTATTCTTTACACATGGATACGAGTTATGTCTTTGGAGTTCAGGGGTTTGATCAAGTGGGCAGACAGAAGCGCAGTCATGAGATATCGACCTGATGGTTTTCGGAAATATTTTCCAAAATGCAGAGTAATTATTGACTGCACTGAAGTGTTCATCGAAACACCATCAAGTCTAGAGCTTGCTGCTATTTGTTGGAGCCAATACAAGCATCACTAGTTTTTGGTTGGTATATGCCAAATGGCGCAATAAGCTTCTTGTCAGATTGCTATGGTGGAAGGGCAACAGACATTTACATAACAGAAGATTGTGGTCTGGCAAGAAACCTTTTACCTAACGATCAGGTTATGGCAGATAGAGGCTTCAAAATACGAGAAAACCTTGAGTATTATCAAACAACATTGATCATCCCCCCCTCAACCCATGGCAGTTTTCAAATGAAAAAATCCGACGTTGCAACTACTTCTAAAGTGGCGAACCTGAGAATTTTTGTTGAAAAGGCAATAAGAAGAATAAAAGAATACCGAATTTTAAAGATGCAGTTACCTATTCAATCACTACCATTATGTGACGATATTGTAACAATTTGTGCAGCATTTACAAACTTAAAGGCGTCTCTTTTAGAACAGTAAATTAAAGAATAAAGTATGATGTACTTCCTTTATTGTATAGATTGATTCTCACTAAAATCTTGAAACAACATGCTTTGTTTAAAGCAAAAAAAAAAGTATTCATGTACTGTTTACTATATTGTTGCTGGCTGATGCGAATCTGTTCGAGGGGCGTGGCAGTTTCTTATGGGGTGTCACTCGATTTTAAATTTTCAAATGAGCTGGAATAGTATTACTATCTAACTTACTCAGCTAAAAAGGTATAAACATTTAACGGTAGCGAGTATTATCATATTATTTGTGACCAAGGGTATATGTTACAGAAATATTTTAACGAGGAAGTTTACTTTGCATATTTCTGTCGACAGTTGAGTACGCTAGCCTCGAGAGCTATTGCCGCTAGCACCCATCCCTATTCCGTTAAAATGTAAAATACCGATATACATATAAATATATATATATAATATTAAAAGTTAAGTTTGATTTCGTAGCTAGCAGTAAATTTAAGCAAATACCAAAAGATTCATTCATTGCACTACTAATGCAAGCATTGCATATCCAGTCACCTTTAGGAGATGTGGATAGATCAACGCATGACCAATGATGCCATAGTAAACAAGTTGAGCACTCTATAATACAACCTTCTGTTCCATCCATCTCCTCAGGCTCAAGGCAAGGGTTTTTCGCATGTGGCACAAAATAAAATTTCTCTTCGTTTCAGTAAAACGCTGACCACATATGATTTAAAAAATTTTTGGCGTTGCGCTCTAGCTCTGCCCAGTGAGAGCTATCAAAGTCAATTTTTTCATTAAACCGGTCTCCAATGGGAGTCCATACTACAAAAATGCATAGTTTGCCCCAAGTAGTGCAGTTTGAGTGGTGACTTGACTGTAGTACTTGTGACTTTTGCTCAAACAGATTTTACCCTCTCTTTCCTCTAGATAGTCTAACTCCTTGAATGCATCCAATACATTATAAATACCAATACATTTATCGCATAACTTATATGAGCACTTGTACTCCACTGGGACTTTCCCTCCATCACAGCATTTGCACGTAAAAATACTGTCAGGTGTTGCCCTTATAAAAGGAAAGGAATGGCTCGCAACCAACCCTGAATCCAGCAATCTGCCATTTTGATGCTTTTTTACGATATGCTCTCCAAAAGCTTTTTTTGCATCTGTTTCATGCTCTCTACCATACTTCACGGTGGGGAGAGCACTAATGTCTTTGTCTTTGAATAACCTGGCTAGAAGGGGGGTCACTTTTATCTTCTTGCCACTTGACTTCCCAATAGACTGGACTTTGGTGCACACATCTTTTATTTTTGTAGCCGTGATGCAGCCTACGCGCTGGTCTCTCCAGATTTGTGAGCCTCCCTGCGCCCTTGTTGTTCTCTCGAGCTCCTTCAATTGATTTTCATTAAAAGAAAGAGAGTTTGAAAATAAATGTATCAATTCCTGCTCATCTTTTCCATCATTTTCAGCCAGAATCTCATCTGCAATCTCCCATAAAGAAGGTGGGCAATCGTAATCACGAGGAGGGTCAATGCATTTGAGGACAGCTGCCAATGGTTTTGCATCCCGTAGTTGTTGAAACAGTTGCCCAATCGTTCATTTTCATGGCCCCTTACATCCAATGGGCGGGGATCAGAAGATTTTTTAAAGTCACTCTGAACAACACGTTTTTTGTTCTTGTTGGTTACTTCGTGCTTTCTTATTTCCACATCTTTTATTTTCATAAACCTAACATTACGCTGAGTGCTTACATTCCAAGAACAAGCAACATCGGTACAGGCAGGGTCGATCATTCCTTTAGAATTTGCGCATTCAACTTTATACAGTAGAGCTACAACGTGGTTGCAGCATTCGGCAAATCCAGCTGTAAATGTGCAATAACCACAATTACAACCACAATTTAAAATCAATTACTGGCACTTGATGATCACGCGGTCAAGCTTTTAAGCAGCACCCAGATTAAGGGAAATACTAAAGAAAGGTTAAAATTTTGATTTAATTAAATATTCATACCGTGACCAGCATTAAAAAGTGCAGTTGTATTAATTTGTCTTTGCAATCAAATAGTCAGGCTGACAGGGTTTGAGCCCACTTCAAGTTCCACAACAACTATGAGAACAAGGGTTCTACCCAAAAGGCTATCAATGTTTGTTTGACCCCAGCACTTGCAACTTCAGCAATCCCACCAAATTCAAGTGTGTTTGGAGTTGCCGATTTAAAATTTCCTGGCTAATGTCACTGAATCGATGGAATATTGAATTACCAATTGGAACTCAATGAACATCTAAGCCCAAGAGTATTGCTAGCACATTTTATTGTCTCCAATGATTTTCTGTGACATCTTCTTCAGAAAATCCATTATGATAGCTATGACTGTGTGCTATTTATTTCCTATACAATAAATTCAAACTCCAGTGGTTCAATGTTAAATTCCAAACAAAGATGATTTTTTTGCCTTGTGTGATATTCATCATTTGTGATAAGATTCATTTGATGAATTGCTATTGAATATCGAAAAAAGACCTTTAGGTAATTGCCTACGTTATCAATTTGTAACACAATTGACTAACTTTGCCTATTTACAGGTATTTGTAATTTTGCTTTACTAGCAAATGCCTGCTCAAATCTTATAAATTTACTTTGCTTTGTTAGTGACAAACTTTTAAATGGCTTTGAAAAAGCAAGCATTTAGTAAACCAAAGCTTTTTGTCTGACACCCTTTAGAGTTTAAAACGTCAGTCCAAGAGTTTTGTACCACCAAAAGATTGTTTGACAGACCTTTGTTAACTTGTTAACCACGTTATAAAGCTGTGTAAAAAGCTATCAGTCTTATTTTGAAAATTTTAAAAATGACTCTAAAAGAATCTGGAAAGGCATCAATGACCTCCTCCATTAAAGAAAGTCACATAAGAGTCGAAATTTCCAGCTAAATATTGCTGGGAATTTAATAACAGACCAAAAGGTAGTTGCAAATGCGTTTGATAAATTTTTCACAAATATCTTGTAAATAAAACGAGTCTAGCTAAGAACCATCAAAAAAACTTTTTAAAAAGCCTTAATAAAATTTATGATCTCAATTACTAGTACCACCTTCCACTACATGTGCTAAAGAATTGGCACATACATGTGCTAAAGAATTGGCACACAAAGAAAAACAAGAACTCTAACAATGTTTTAAAAGCATTCCACTACCTTTTTTTATCCCCTTTTTATTTTTTGCCCCCTTTCCCATAAACAAATAGATTAGATTTACGTTTTAACTATCATATTCAAAACCAACTTTTCTATTTTTCAAAATTTTTATTCCTAGTTTAAAAAAATGTTATTGTTGTTTATTAACATTGTGTATTGATTTATAATTACTTCAGGCAAAATTCACGTATAATGGCACATGAAAGGTTAAGACAAAAAACAAATGCTCAAACCCCCATCCTATTCTGGATTCAGGTTCCTAGATCCTGAAAGGTTGGTTGTTGTATTTATTACAGCGATTTTTGTTCCTTAGGTACCACAGTTTATGACAGGTTACAAGATGTAATATTGAATAAACAAATAGTAGACAACATGAAAAAGCTGTCATCATATGCCCAGGCAAACTGTTTAGGAGGGTTCCATGAAACCCTTAATCATTGGCATCCCAAAATGATCAGCTTCTCTTGGATGGGAACCATCTTCAGGTACAGTAGTTTCCTCATGGTTAAGTATGCAACATGTTCAATATGGATGGTTATTAGGTCACAGGACTTAAAGATTTCCAAGAGCATTCTAATTTGTTTAATTTAGACCCCGTTTACACTGTCCCGTGCAAGTTTGGAACCGTGACAAAACTGTCGCGGTTCGCCCTTGCGTTTACACTAGCACTGTGGAACCGTGACGATTTTGCTCTGCTATCCGGAACAGTTTTGACCCTGCTTTGAAAGCGAACGAATTTTGTACCGTCACGGTTCCGTTTTTGAACGGGACAGTGTAAACACCTATCCGAAACGATTTTGTCACGGATTCACAAAGAGGTCTTTTGTATGGCTGTTTCAGGTAATCGAGGCTTTGATTGTGGCGTAACTACGTTCTCAAATTCTGAAGAAAAGGGAATTCTGAAGAAAAGACGACCACAGAAAAGGCTTGTAGTGTTTCCCAGTCCAAGCCTTGATTGGACTTGGCAGTTTTGTAGTCTAAAATAACACTGAAAATTAAAGCCACCTTGTCTTTCGTCCAAGTTAAGTTTTAATCGGCCTTCCGCTCCATTTTAACTCACAATAAAAATTTGATTGTTGACTTCAGCGGCAAAATAAAAGCCTTGGTTGACTAAATACAGCTTCATCTAAACAATGTTCTACCATTAAATTAAGGTCGTACCGGTACAGTGTAAACGGAACGGCTAAACGGAACAATTTGGAACCGCGACAGTGTAAACACTTGCGAACCGTAACGGTACAAAATTGTCCCGGGACAGTGTAAACGGGGTCTTATTTTATTTCACTTACAACTTTACTGTTTCACTTTTCAGGCACATTTCATGACGTAGTTGTCAAGGAACGCACAGTAACCCCAACAAACGGTAAGTCAATGTTTGTTTTTGAGACAATTCTCACAACACTTCTTGAACAGCAAACTAAAAAGAATGTACTTATAAACAAAGATATTTAAAGAAAATTTCCATATTTGTGCAGCTTTATTTTTTTGTTTTCTTAAGTATAAACTGGTTTAGCTTCTAAAGGTACTTAGCACAATATACTTAACATACTTGTCTTAGCATAAGTAACTTCAAAGTGCGGGTGAATGACTTGGCCTTAGGTGTTGGCTTGAAAGCACGACCTGATAGCTCAGCAATAGAGCACTTGAACTACAAAGTCATGGGTCGTGAGGTCGAGCCTCGCTCAGGTCGGTTATTTTCCCGCACTCTTTACTACATAAGTAACTTCCTATATCTAAGATAAAACCTTCTTTTTAGAATATGACAATGAAATGAAGACACTTCTATTCACATGTGACATATAAAAACTTCAATCTGCAGATGAAAAGGTGGTCGCTAAACAACGCAAGCCTTTGAATTAGCAATATTAAGACAGGAAAAGCAAGAATGGAGCTGTCTAAAGCCACAAAGAACGGCAAAGGATCTATAATTCACAGCAACTATTTCCATAAAGTAAGTATCCTAAATATGACCGAGTGATAAAATTTTTTTTGTCAATTGCAAAGAAATCTAATGTTCCCCACTTCTTCACAGCACTCAATCTTCTTCTTCCGTTTTCTTTTCATTTGAAAATGACCAATTTATGGTCTTTCGAAGTTAGCATAGGGCTCAAATCTTGATTGGCTGAGAGCTTGCGCTAAATCATGTGACCTCTCTCGCCGCTGAGCCAATCACAGCCCCGGAAAGTGTAAACAAACTTAGGCCAAAGCCGAAAATTGGGCATTTTTACCACCGTCCATTAAAAAAATAACGTGTAAAATCTGCTACAATAAATTTCAAATTTTTTTAACTACATCCCTACACAGATAAATTTCCCACAAATCTACCGTGGAACATGACCTCGATTTTGCGTTGTTAAGAAAATACAGCGTTGTAAACCTAGCCATAGGATACCTTCACATCCAAGGGGTTTAAAATTAACACAATTTCAAGTCAATTATTGCTGTTACCCCATAAAACCAAAATTTTGCATATTTCAGTTGCTTTAAATCTGAATATCACATTAGACTCAGCTTAGTTTTAAAAAACTCTGACGAACAACGCATGCAGTCTTTACTAGAGCTTTGATCAACGCAAAAATGAGAGAATTTCCCTTTTCAAGACAAAAACTCTCAATAGCTTTCAACTGATCATGTAAAAATGCTCCACCTAGCCGGAGAAGCTTTTAAACTGATACATAATGACTTATTTTGCGACTGTACCATGTCCTGAGCATCTCTGCTGAAGCACAGGTATCTAAGTATTGTGGGGCGTGAAACGATTAGTTCTAAACATGTGCTGGGCACCCAAACAGAATCGTAATATATGTATATAAAGGGAAAAAAGCTACTCAAAACCTAATTAGAAATACTTACTGTGTTTCTGTGAGTGTTGGAATCCTGCTTTGACAATTTTTGAATCATGATTTACATAACGCGTTTGAAGGTAAATTTGTGGGTTATTCTTGTCCTTGTGACATAAGAATTCATATTTCGAACAATTCTTCACGCCCACCTCTTCCAGTCCGTTGCAATTTTAAATTTAGGAGATAAAAATGATGAAGACTTTTGAAAGCAGGAACTACCCGCATGTTTCTCAAATTTCAAAAGTTAGCAAATGATGACGTGTTGTAACAAAGTGAATTTTCAAAAAATTAAATTCAACTTTTAAAAGTATTGCAAGGGTTTCGAGATTTCGTGACTTTTCAGTGAAAGGTCTACATATTGATTCTTCGAAAAGTAACTTATGATAGTTTTAGAATAAAGAGAGATGCAAATTGTTTGCCATTTTAATTGTTTTGCTTGAAGCGTTAAACTATAAAACTGTTAGAATAAAAAGTCAATTTTTGAACAAGGCCGATTTCTAAAAAAACGATAACTCTTTATGCTTCATATTATAAAGCAAACTGCCATGACATTAGCCTTAAACTCATAATTTACTGTCACGAATAGCTGAATTACATACAATGAGGTGAAACTATTCATAGTCAGTGGTGATTTCTAGGGGGGTGTAGGGGGCGATAAATCAGCCCCTTTGCTCTTTCTTGGTTTTGGAGGCTCTGCCTCTTAAAGGGGAATTTTCAGGTCTTCTCATCTAGATCTTAGATCTTTTCAGGATAAGGGGGATTTTCGAAAGCATGATCAATGAAGTTTTATTTGCAAATACCACGAGAAAGGATGCACAAATTGTTAATTTTCTCATCACTGGTACCTCTTTGATTAGTGTCTCACCTTCGAAGTATACTGTTAAGTATACTGAAGTATAGCTGCATTGTTTTGGGAAGAACAGTCATATCAAACATTGATTTGCTTCAGTATTGGTTAATTCATTTGATGGGTGTGATAAAAGATGATCGTGGTCATAAGAAACCACAACCGGTCTTATAAAATCGCATCTAGAGCCCCCTTCCAAGAACTTTTAGAAATCAGCCCTGTTCAAAAAATGACTTTTTATTCTGACAGTTTTACAGTTAAACGCTTCAAGCAAAACAATTAAAATGGCAAACAATTTGCATCTCTTTATTCTAAAACTAAATGTCAAACAATTTGCATCTCTCTTTATTCTAAAACTATCATAAGTTACTTTTCGAAGAATCAATATGTAGACCTTTCACTGAAAAGTCACGAAATCTCGAAACCCTTGCAATACTTTTAAAAGTTGAATTTAATTTTTTGAAAATTCACTTTGTTACAACACGTCATCATTTGCTAACTTTTGAAATTTGAGAAACATGCGGGTAGTTCCTGCTTTCAAAAGTCTTCATCATTTTTATCTCCTAAATTTAAAATTGCAACGGACTGGAAGAGGTGGGCGTGAAGAATTGTTCGAAATATGAATTCTTATGTCACAAGGACAAGAATAACCCACAAATTTACCTTCAAACGCGTTATGTAAATCATGATTCAAAAATTGTCAAAGCAGGATTCCAACACTCACAGAAACACAGTAAGTATTTCTAATTAGGTTTTGAGTAGCTTTTTTCCCTTTATATACATATATTACGATTCTGTTTGGGTGCCCAGCACATGTTTAGAACTAATCGTTTCACGCCCCACAATACTTAGATACCTGTGCTTCAGCAGAGATGCTCAGGACATGGTACAGTCGCAAAATAAGTCATTATGTATCAGTTTAAAAGCTTCTCCGGCTAGGTGGAGCATTTTTACATGATCAGTTGAAAGCTATTGAGAGTTTTTGTCTTGAAAAGGGAAATTCTCTCATTTTTGCGTTGATCAAAGCTCTAGTAAAGACTGCATGCGTTGTTCGTCAGAGTTTTTTAAAACTAAGCTGAGTCTAATGTGATATTCAGATTTAAAGCAACTGAAATATGCAAAATTTTGGTTTTATGGGGTAACAGCAATAATTGACTTGAAATTGTGTTAATTTTAAACCCCTTGGATGTGAAGGTATCCTATGGCTAGGTTTACAACGCTGTATTTTCTTAACAACGCAAAATCGAGGTCATGTTCCACGGTAGATTTGTGGGAAATTTATCTGTGTAGGGATGTAGTTAAAAAAATTTGAAATTTATTGTAGCAGATTTTACACGTTATTTTTTTAATGGACGGTGGTAAAAATGCCCAATTTTCGGCTTTGGCCTAAGTTTGTTTACACTTTCTGGGGCTGTGATTGGCTCAGCGGCGAGAGAGGTCACATGATTTAGCGCAAGCTCTCAGCCAATCAAGATTTGAGCCCTATGCTTTCGAAGTTTAAAGTAATAAAAATCAATCTGTTGTTGAAAAGTGTTTGGGGTGATTTATGACTATTGAAAAATTCTTCGGTGTTCCAATATTCGGTGTTCTTTATGACCATCTTCCTGCAGGCACTGTAGGTATTTTGTTTTCCAACCCCGGTAATAGTGGCTTTACTTTTATGCAAAACAAGGTCAGAGTTCATGCAGCTCCTAGACAATGCAATCATTGGAAGTTGAAAGAGATTTGGACCACCAGTAGAGTAATTGTATTCCACTAGAGTCTGGATCTGACTCTGACAGACCGAGCAGCGAAAGCTCAGTTGGTCAAATTTCCGACTCTGAACCATCAGTTCAACCCCTCTCGCCAACTGAGCCAACGCTAGATGTCTGTTAGGCAAGAGAAGGGGAATTAAAATGCTCAACTACTGAAAAGACCTTAACAGGCTATACACTAGCAGCTAGACTCAAATAGACAGACAGATCTTATTTTTTGCTATTCCCATCCTACAGATTTCTCAAGAAAATTGCCATTGAAGCAGTATACTTTTACTGCGTTTTCCTACTTGCTAGTCTTTCTTTCAAGAAAATAGGTTATTTGGCTTGTGAAGAAAAAATTTGATTCAATGCTCTACCACATATTTGTTCATGCTTTCTTATATCTATACTTTTAAGGGGACGGTTATCTAGCTTTTCATTAAATGTTTACATGTAAAATGCACCAATTGGATGTGAGCCTCTGTGCCAATTCACTAATTTGATGCCCATGCTTAAGGTCATTGGTATATTTTATAAAACTACGCCTACACCAACCCTAGTTATTTCAAGCCACTTCTCTATTTCTCTTAGAACTTTGAAAAAATGGGGGTCCTATCGCTGGCATTTTCAATGTTTTTGTTCCAGGGACCGCGGACATGAATTAGAGGATTGAAGGATCTATAAAAAGTTTTTTTGGAGAGGATAACATTCACCAAAGACAAACATAGCTTCTTTAGAGTTTCAGTTTTTACAAGTAATAACGCAATAAGCCCCCTTGCCCCCACGCTTCTGCGCCCTATTTTCCAGTTTGAGAAATCTTTATGAACTGCTACTTAGCGGAGTTCAAGTAGCCTAACCTGTCTTGGAGATATACTCCTCACTATGAAATTTTCATCAACAAATTTTTTTAACTTTTAGAATTTTCTGAAAAAAAACACGAGTCGTCCACCTTGCATTCTCATAGCTGCTTGCAAGCAACTGATATCAGTATGGGATGATATACACGACATAAGACCAAACATACCAGAAGAAGGTGAGGTTAAAAAATTCTAACATCTTTCACTTTATTTTTGTAGGCCAATAATTGTTCAGACCAATGATTGTGTAATTGATGTATTTTATTTTGTTCGACTTTATTCCTGATTTCTTTATGTTGCGCATTAATATAAGCCGCAGGATACTGTTTCAACAGATGTTTATTCTTGTTATCAGGGTTGCCTTGTGATCAAAGCCCTAGACTTTAGTGAGCCAATGGTTTTGGTTGCAAAGTTAGAAGGACAACGATAAAGACCAGTATGTTGTGGCTGTCAACAAAAAAAGCTTTGTAAGGCCCTATTCACACTGCATCTAGAAACCTGATAATGTTAATCCCTTATTGTTCTATCTTCAAAGGCGGCAAGGGTTTGTCAGGAAGTAGTTTAATTGGTAGAGTGCGAACAGCAAAATCTGAAATCTGACAAATTGTAACGTTTCAACTAATTGGTCAAAGGTTCTGTCGTAGAGCTCTGGAGCATCACAATCTCATGAAAATCCATGATAACCAGCGGGTGACTCGAAGGACATGCCAGAATTATGTTAACACCAATAAAAAGTCCAGGGTGCTATTTGAAATCATGTCACAATTTAAAAAAGGTACAATTTCTTAATGGCAACCTGATAACGTGTTAGATACAACATCTCAGAAAAGTGCCTAATGAGAACAGAAGTCTGACAAACTTTGTCAATCTTGAAAAAGTTTTTTTAATTGGGGTGAGAATATCGGGTTTGACAAACATTATCATATTTGCAGGCGAATAGGGCCTATGCCTCTGCTGCAAACATGGAAGGCACTCGTGTAGCCATGTAAAGTACATAAATGCCATCGTAAAAAGCCAAAAAATGCCAGATAGTTTGAAAGAGGTTGTCAGAAGGAGTGACATTTTGCGAAAAAGGCACCAGGATGCGTACATTAGAATCCTGTGTCAACTGGCAAAATTTCTTTGGAGACTCTACCACATCAGCGTAGTGTCTATGTAGGGTCTTACAGTCATGCTGTTATGGAGACAGTGGAAGGCAGCCTTTTGGTTCCAGATTTTGATGGGAACAATTGTAGAAACTGCGGAGAAAGATTGAATGACCATTTTGTTGGGCAACCCCGAGTAAGACTCATTTCACGCAGCTTCATAAAACTCATGAGTGGTACGTGGGATCCTTTTAGATTTTTTCTCACTGTATGTATATTCTATGACATAGAAAATTTCTTGACAAACTGACTCTGTCTTCTTATCAAAAAAGGTCTGCTTGGTATTTCATAGCTTTATTTGCTTTCTCAAGCTACCAGAACATAAAGGTAGTCCGATCATTGGTCGAGCATTCAAACTACCATGAATTTCTCTGCACCAGGAATGGGTAATCTTTTTTTCTTGCAGTGGGGTTTTAGAGCATGTTACATTAGAACGTTATTTAAGAAACTCGACACGATCTCTAGTGTTCTTCCTTAAATTACCTATTCCCTCATAGGTCCTCTTTTTTGGAATAAGGTTTCATGGGAACATGAAATTCCAGACTTTGTACTAAAAGTAATCGATAAAGTAATTTTGTATTGAAACAAGTTGATTATCATTGGCTAACAGGCGGGTAAAAAGATATTTATAGTTTTTTCACTTTTTCTGTTCCAGAGAGAAAATGTCCCAACACAAACTGCTCCGTTGTTCAGAATTATTGTGGTTCAAACAAAGGAATTCTCAAACATGGGTTATTTTCTTTTTGGGCACGATGTCTTGAAGGACTACATGTTTTGATTCCTCATTGGAAACAGGTGATTACCATAAAAAGTTTTTAAGTTTTTGCTAAATAAATGAGGACGAAATTCCTGCTTCCATAGAGGATTTGCTTCAATGCTTGGCTTCAGAATCACCTGTCTCCTCGTACTTGCCCTCAGACAACGAGCTCAGTGTACATGTAAGCGAGCTATGCTCAACAACTGATAAAGGTGTTGCAATTGGAAGCAACATCATTGCAATGTCATTTATACAGCAGGTAGCTCCTGTTCGCGCTGACAATGACCCAATTGCTGCCCCTTCCCGATAAACGGAGGAAGTTGTTCCTGCTCTTGCAGAAAAATTCGAGCAACTCATACAACAATAAACCCCATACACTGCCTGCAGCTACCAAAGCTCAGAAAAATAACGGAGTTGCCTTTTTCCCGAACTGGCCAGTACAGTGTTCTCGAGCTAAAAAACGACTTTGCTGCCTGGGCTTTTCACTGTACACTGCGAGCATGGTAAGACCAGGTAGTTTTCTCCAGCATGTTTGATAGCATTTCTTTCGCTAGAATGAATATATTGGAAAGGTACTAAAGTAATGCTTTTTTGTTAGAGAGCGAAGATCCATTGTGGTTGACAAACGTGTCACAAACTTCATTAGAATTATTTCTCAATACGATAAACACGTTTTAAGAAGGCAATTTTATAAATAACAGAAAAGAACATGCTACAATTCTCTATTTTTCAGGAATTTGCTAGGGCTTTGAAATAATAGAGTCCCAGGAATCGCCAAATGTACCCTTTACAATTTTCCGGATGAGATTTCCAACAGGTACAAGTAGATTTTGCTATTTGAATAATAATGTAAACTTTTTTATATATATACAGCAACTTATGTTTTATACCAGATATGTAAGTAGAGCGGAAACATCCAAGTTTAAGATTACTTTTATTTAGATTATTCCCTCCCTAAGAACTTGCGCGAATAATTTCTATTCAAACAAATTGTTATATTCAAACTGCGGTGTGGTGACAAACCTTTTTATTAAGGAAGACAATTATTTGCATTAGAGGTTCTGGGTCCAGTCAACCTGTTGCCCCTATTGGTGAAATGGGTGACCTTGACACTAGAAACAATTTATCTAGCATCGCTAATTCAAAACATTTTGTAAACCGGCAGCCTATTGGTATATAAACAGTGCTGAAAATCACCTCTTAATTTTCTAATAGTATGTTGTGTTTGTAAGCGAGACAGATAAAATGACATTATTGACGTGCATCTTTTTCACAGTACCAAAAGCCATACTATACGACAACAGCTGCCATTTGCATGCATATTGTTTGAAACGAGATCCAGGATTTTTAAAAAAATGCACCTTTGCCGTTGACTGATTTCATTGGAAAAATCACAAAGGTTTGCAAAAATCATCAAAATTACAACTAAATGAAATAGCAACATAAAACTAAACTTGCTAGAGAAAGAAAACAACTTGTGTTTCTGGCAAATACATAGTGAGATAGGTTGATGCTATTTAATACTGCAATTTTGCAAAAAAAGGAAACTAAATGTACAAGAATACCAAGGGAACAGAAGATCCAGGTGTAAAGACAACTGGTGACTAGTTAGTGCTTATTTCTAAAATCCCACAGGAAAATGTTGTGACTAGTTGTAGAACCGTATGTTTGCTCTACTAGAGAGTCACATCAACCAGAAATATTACAACAAGCAAGGCTCTTAATGTAAGAAAATATACTTTTAGTTCATTCAAAGTATTGACCAGAGATATGGATCCTTTCACAGTTGTATCTGATATGGACACAGGGAACTGGGTAGATAATGGACTATACATACACGTTAAGCAGCCTGTGTATTGGTACTTAAGTATTTAGGTTGCATTTTTAAAGCAAAAACATGTTAATTTTTAGCAAAACTTTTTGGGACACATCATGTAACATTTTTGATCATAAGACATATTTGTCGCTAGAAGGTACTTGTTATATTATGGGATAAAAGTTTTTTGATTTATTATTTCATGATGAATTCCATTATAGCCTGTGCCAGAAGTTACAATATGCATATATACCCAAAGTTTCAAAGCACACATAGCCAAAAAAGAGCAAAGAAATGTCCAGCTAAAGAAAATAGAGTACCAATTTTCTTACATGTCCAAAAAAAATTTCATGAGGCCATTGGTTCTACACCTGTACAACCAAAACACGAAGCTGCTAAAATACAGAATATTGCTTGACATCTTTCAGCATATTTTAGTAATAACGAAATAAATATACTTTTCTCAAGCCATATTTTGTCTTCCATTGTATCATTGTGATTAACTTCTTCACCGATATATAACAATTTGAGAATAGTCACTTCAAATTCGAATCAAACATACTTATACTTAAGTGTATTTTATAAACAAATTTTATACTCCATTGAATCATTGACAAGGCGTCTTGCATAGAGCAGTGGATTTTTCGCTAAACGGTGAATAAGGAAAGCTGCAACATATAGAAAACATGATGCATTGCTATCTGTCCGCAATTTACAATGCGACATTTGTTTACACATTCGATTAGACATTCGCGTTCTCGCTTACACATTCGGAGGGTTTTGGCCAAAAAATAGACATTCGAGAAACTTGACGAATATTCGAAGCAAAAACTCTTTTTCTAAAGAAAAAACCCAATATAAAAAAAACTCAAAACAAAACATATAGGTATATTATTAAGCCATGCTCACCTGCAAATATTTTTCAATTTCCCAAAATATTTTCAGAGAAACAGATCAAAATCGACACAGCACTCTAAGCAAAGATTCGACTGGAAAAACTACCAAAAACTCGCCTATTTGTACTCGAATAACTTTTTCAAATGTGAATAGAATTTGAGGAAACTTCACAAAACATCATTAAATAACCTACCACACATGTTTCTGGAGGTCTTTTGAATCTCTGACTTTCTGGGGTAAAGTTCCGAATTTGACCCCGATACTGAAGCCTTATATTCAGGTAAAAATATCTCGTTGTACTCGAATAACTTTTTCAAATGTGAACAGAATTTGAGGAAACTTCACAAAACATCAATAAATGACCTACTACACATGTTTCTGGAGGTCTTTTGAATTTCATGTGAAGGGAAAGAATTACTCAGAGGACTTTTCAAAAATGTCAATAAGTTTTTTGTATTTAGGTTCGGATATCAACATATTCAGAAATCGTGTTCTCGAAAGAGGAACTCCGATTTAATCAAAAGCAGAGCTTCATGTTGCATAAGTAACTGTAAGTTCAACGTCCTTTACCGAATACCAACTATAGATTCAAATTACATTCATTTAAGTCTTACTGGGTACATCCTCCATAAAAAAGGGTCGATGGCAGCAGAACGTATTACTGGTCAGAAAAAAGATAATTTGCGAGCTCTCTTTCAGGAGGAAAGAACACTTTTACCCTCTGAAAAACATTGCCTAGATTTAAGTAACATAATCCTGATTTGCTTGCTGCTGGAAACAAGACTGAGGTGGGTAAAAATCACATCGCCTACCAGCAGGTAGCTACTAAGGCCCGGAAGGACGACGATCATTTAGAAAATATTTTCAAGAAAGTAATTGCTCTTCAGAACGAAATAAAAATCTCTGACGAAGAGCAGGCTATAAAGCAGTGTGCGATATTTAGAAATCATTTTGGATATATTCAAAGGCTAACTGTAACAGCAGATGAAATAAGCATTACTTTGGTAGATCAACCGATGACTATGTTGTATCATGAACATGTTAAAGATAACGCTACTGGCTCATTAGTTAGATCTATCAAAGGATTAAAAAAAAACTCTCTACTACGCAGCAACTATTCAGCACCCTGTTAATAAATCTCCCCCGGTGCCGGTTGCGGAATTTAAATCTACGAACCACGATCAATTCTCGATTAGAAGATTTATAAGCACTCTCCGGGAAATGGAAAGTATGAAATATGGACACGATAAGGCAGTTAATCCAAGGCTAATTGTCCTTGACTATAGTATGGCAATAATTAATGCTTATCTTTTGGAATTTTCTGGGGAATCTATGACAGATTATTTGAACAGGGCATTTAGAGTTATACATGGCAGTGCTTGTCAATCTAAATTAAACAAAACTTTTTTTCATATATGCTCTTCTCATATAATGCGCCTCAACAGAATGCATGCATTGAAAGACAACTCTGGTGGGCAGTGGCGGCGCCAGGGGGGGGGGAAGGGGGGACTACTTTTTCAAAAAGATGGTCTCTGAGATTCATGCAAATCCGATGAGAAAATGGGGGGGGGGGGGAAGGCCTACGTTCTGTGAATTGCGTCGCAAGATTATTTCAATGTAAAACACAAAATTTGTTATTAAATTACATCCTTAAGATTTATTTATCTTACAACAGGAAAACATGAATGGGTCAGATTATAATAATATAATCCTTTGCAAGAAAATATCAGTAGTTGTTTCAGTATATTTACGAAGTTCACTTCATCAACATTTTTAACGTCTTAAAAAGAATAGTAATTATCTTCCGGCTCTCTGCAAGAAAAAATGATGAATTTGTTGCTGCATATCTTGACTTTCACTCATTCATCTGAAAGACAACGAAATGGCGTGTGCTTCTGTACCTGATCCGTCTTCTGAAAACGTTCTGAAGATCGACAATGTCCTTGCAATGGGACGAATTAAGCCGGTTATCGATTTCCCAAAATCAGTTATTTCTGGGAAAGACTTTCGATTTCAGAAGAGATGGTATGAGCAGTATGACTGGTTAGAGTATTCAATTGACAAAGATGCAATCTTTTGCTTTTACTGTCACATCTTTGGGTCGCAGGGTAAGTGTTTTTACGTATTTTTTATGGTTATTGGTTATTCCATCGTTATTCTTAGGCTAGCTGTCATATTTTAGTATATAAAACGTTTTCCCCATCTTTTACGGGCACAGTCGGGCGCAAGCCTACATTTAAAAAACCATTAGAGAGACATCTTTAGCCCTGTGAGAAATATTAAAAACTTCCTAATTAAAAATGCCCTTGTGGGGAAATGGCTACCCAAATAACCTTTGTATGAAAATGTGTATTTCATACCACATTTGAAGCTTCACAAAAGATAGTGGCAAGAATGTAGCACGTAACTCAAGAAAGTCCTAAATTTTCGTAATGAAATATTCAAGAAAGTCCTAAATTTTTCAGTCCTAAGAAAGTTTTCAAAATCAATTCTTGAAAAACGGCCGCAATCATGAAGGACTTTTGTATTCTTATCTTATTTTGCCTAGTCGTAGTCCATCTATTCATTAATTTGATGATTTGAAACAAAAAACAACTATAAGAAAGTGCTCACAATAAAGCTTCTTAAAAGTGAGATAGATGCTGGAAAACAGAGTTACTGTAGGACAAAAGCGAGCGTACATAATAATGAAAGTATACAAGATTTTAAAAATGACATCGACGTAAATTTCCTTCAAATTTTGAAATAAAAAATGCTAAAAAATGTTTGTTTCAGTTGGTTGTTCTGAGAAAATCTTCACAGAAGATGGTTTCCGTAACTGGAAAAAGGCAACTGGAGCAACAGGTCGCTTGGAGAAACATTTGAAGTCGAGAGCACATCAGCTGAGCCGAGAGAAATCTATTTTAAGAAAGACCAGCATACCAATCAATGTCCAGCTTTCAAATGCCGAAGCAGCAAGGATTTTAAAGCTAGAGGCTGAGAAAAAGGAAAATCAGAAGGTGGTGGAAGTTATCCGCCATATCAGTCTTCAAAACGAGGCTTTTAGGGGTCATGATGAGAAACCAACATCTGAAAATCAAGGAAAATTCCTAGAAGAGATAATGTTTTTAGCAAAATATCACGCTCCCTTAAAGAAATGGCTAGACAGTCGTCCCGAAAATGTTTCTTGGCTTTCGCATGATATACAGAATGAAATGATAGATCTTCTTTCTCAAAATGTCATAGAGACAATGAAAGAACAGATATTAGAAAGCAAGTAATATTCAGTGGAATGGGATGAAGTCACCAGTCATAAAAAGTCATACATGTATATTATCGTACGTTATGTTTATCAGAATGTTATTCAAGAGAGGGTTGTTGGGCTGAAAAATGTATTGAGCTTGAAAGGAAAATCATTGGCTGACATCATCATTGAAAAGTTGGGTGTATTGCAGATTCCATTGCAAAACATGATAGGAAAGGGCTTTGACGGTGCAAGTAATATGTCCGTCAAGGACAATGGGGTCCAACAACATCTCAGCGAGTCTGGGGCTACCCTTTCGTTGTACTTCCATTGTTTTGCCCACTGTCTAAATTTAGTCCTTGGGAAGACAGCAGAAACGCTACCGCTGGTCAAAGATGTGTTCGACACAATTGGCTCTATTTATAGAGTCATGGAAGGTTCCCCACAACGAACAGCAGTCTTTGAAAAGTGGCTGAAAGAATTTTCCATAAATGAAGGACACAGGGCCCTCCGATCTGTATCAGACACCCATTGGACTGCACGGGTCGACAATCTATCAGCAACTGCAAATACATTGCAGGCTTCGATTGCAGCATTAAGAGAGTTGGGGCCGAAAGAAGCTGCGTGTGCTGGTCTCTTAACACAACTGAACTCTTTTGAATTTTTGCTCAAATTGATGATTCTGAAAGAAGTCTTTGAGATTTCTAAGTATGCATCAGAATATCTCCAAAGGGCCGATATGGATATGGTAACGGCAGTCGACGCTGTTCAGACCTTGATACGACAAATCACTTCTCTTCGAGACGAGAAGCATTTTGATGAATTGGTCTGCAAAGCCAAACTTCATGCTTCTAAGTGTAACGTCAATAATACCTTCAACGAAGCAAGTAAACGACGCCGCAGACTACCAGAATGCCTAGGAGATGGTCAAACTTTGCTTGACGCAACATTCAGCCACAGCATTGCAACTCCTTCAGAGTCCAGTCAGTCGGTTACAGCAGTAGATAATTTTCGTCATGTCTTCTACTATCCCTTCTTGGATTTGATGCTCAATGAGCTTGGAAAGAGGTTCTCTGTTGAGTCATGTGAGGTGATAATGCAATTATCAGCTTTCAATCCACTTTACTGGAATGCTGGTAACCAGGGAAAAGTTGGCAAATTTGCGAGCCGTTATGGTATTCCTGCACAGCAGACCTGTCAAGAATACATGCTATTGAGAGAATCGCGATTCTTCAGCAAGCTGCTGTTAGAAATGGACGAATGGAAAAAGAAAGGCTGGAAGAATCTGTGTTTACCATTAATTCTGAAGATGTTCCAGCAGAGTGACCTTGAGAGTCTTTATCCAAATCTACATTTGTTAATCAGAATTGCCTCATGCATCCCCGTTTCTATAGTGTCTTGTGAGCGATGTCATAGCAAAGTGAAGCTAATTAACACTTATCTTCGGGCTACAATGACAGAAGATCGTCTGGAAAATCTTGTCCTGATAAGCAGCGAGAAGGATATTTCAAAAGAAATAGATTTATCGACCATTCGAAAGCAATTCGCTATTAAACCTAGGAAACTGGCCTTATAATCAAGTTGTGTTGAAAAAAACTACAAGCGTTGTTTATTATAAGATTGTTTGACATTGTCATTGTTTTAAATTCTCGTTTTAGATTAATGATACCTTTTTGTTTGGCACTTCCCAATAAACAAGTTAAAATTAAAGTCTACAGGTTGTGTTGCTCTAATAATGTATGTAGAAAGAGAAATCAAAGAATCCTAAGCCATTTTGAGACCTCAGAAATGAGAAAATCCTGGGAGCTTCCGGGGGCTTAGCCCCCTGGACCCCTACCAAGGCGCTGCCCTGGACCCGTTAACGGGCTTCTTACAGCATCCCCAGACCCCAGCTGTTTTAGGCAACGGCCTCTGGCCATTGCATGCGTGCCTTTGGGACGCCATGTACACATAGAACAGCAAGACACAATTTTTAAAAACTTCTAGCACACTCCTGAAAAAAATCTCCCCCCTCTTTTTTGGAGCTGGCGCCGCCACTGCTGGTGGGGAGGATTTAGAAAGTCGTGTTCATTTTGCGATGAGGTTATTTGGACGTCTCATAAACTGTAGAACCTTGGATGATGCATGTGCTTTAATTAGAGACAGTACTTTAGTTTTGAAAAGCAAACATATAAACAATGAAGTACGTTTGGCCTTACAACGAATTGAAGATAGCATAAACACATTCGATCCCATCACTCCGAATGATTTTTTTGAAAACGCGGAGGACAATGTAACCATAGGGGGAGATGATGAACTCTCCGATTTTGATGTCCAGATAACTGAGCCAAAGTCGGAATTTCATGAATATTGAGGAAAAATAATCCAAAAAATTAATATTGATATAGATAAAGATGTGACAAGTGAATCACCGCTGAACCGTTATTTCATGCCCAATTACTGCAACTGGTTTCATAAGAAAATGCCACACTTTGCACTTTGGAGCAACTTGCTTCTAGGTGACCTTAAGAAATTTAATTCGACCTATGAGTGTGAACTGCCAATAACTAAAGCAAACGCTGTTGCCGAACAATTTTTCTGTCTAAAAAAGCGAAACAGAAAAAACTTGGGACAGTCTCTGGTAGATTTTATTCGTAACTGTTTGCAAGACAACCGTGGATTGCAAAGACAATTCATAGTTGGCCTTAGGGATTATATATCTGGAAGCAAAGATGTTTCATTATCAAAGCGCAAATCATTTAATAAAATTAAAAAACTTTTAACCTGTTACGACGAAACAAGCGGTGGCGACAGCGAAATTCAAGAGGATGCTACAAACGTCTCTATTTTGAACGAAACATGGGAAAAAAAGAAGATGGAAAGTTTAAAAAGCCAAAAAACAAGGTACATTTCAAAAACCACCTTTGACAATATTGAAATTTAACGCGACAAAAGTAGAGAAGGTAGCTCACCTTGCTTCCAAAGGGCAAAAATCTCAAAAACAGTCAGCCAAGTGATACATTACCTTCGGATAATGATGGCTATCCATTATATAGGCGCGAGGTTTTTGATTCACTCTCACATACAAAGAAAGTTAGCATAGTTAATTTGCGCAAAAAGGCAGTGGAAAGTTGGCAACAGTGGCGGAGCCATGGGTGGGATGGGGGTAATTTTTTAAAAAGTTGGTCCTTGAGATTCTTGCAAACCTGATGAGAAAACTTCAGGGGAGGGGGGGTATGTACGTTATCTAGATCGTCACATATTAATGACATTTCTTGGGAGACAACAGGTGTTTTCTCCGGAAGAAAAAGTTTCAAACAGGGGAAAATGGCGTGGTCCAAAAGGGCGTTGTCCCTGACACACCTATTGTCCCCCCCTATTTATCCTTGGCTGGAGCCGCCACTAGTTGGCAATCGTTACCTAAGGATCGCAAAGAAAAGTATAATAGTGACGAAGTCAGAGATCAGAACTTTACCCTAGAAAGTCAGAGATTCAAAAGACCTCCAGAAACATGTGTAGTAGGCTATTTAATGATGTTTTGTGAAGTTTCCTCAAATTCTGTTCACATTTGAAAAAGTTATTTGAGTACAACGGGATGTTTTTACCTGTTTATAAGGCTTCAGTATGGGGGTCAAATTCGGAACTTTACCCCAGAAAGTCACAGATTCAAAAGACCTCCAGAAACATGTGTGGTAGGTTATTTAATGATGTTTTGTGAAGTCTCCTCAAATTCTGTTCACATTTGAAAAAGTTATTTGAGTACACAAGATGTTTTTACCTGTTTATAAGGCTTCAGTATGGGGGTCAATTTCGGAACTTTACCCCCAGAAAGTCAGAGATTCAAAAGACCTCCGGAAACATGTGTGGTAGGTTATTAGACGATGTTTTGTGAAGTTTCTTCAAATTCTATCCACATCTGATAAAGTTATTCGAGTACAAATATGCAAGTTTTTGGTAGTTTTTCCTGTTGAATCTGTGCTTAGAGCGCTGTGTCGATTTTGATCTGTTTCTCTGAAAATATTCCGGGAAATTGGAAAATATTTGCAGGTGAGCATGACCTAATAATATACCTATATGTTTTAATTTGAGTTTTTTCTATATTGGGTTTTTCTTTAAAAAAAGAGTTTTTGCTTCGAATGTTCGTTAAGTTTCTCGAATGTCTAATTTTGGGCCTAAGTGTGGTCACTGTCAAAACCAATAGGTTTTCTGAAAAATGAGAGACTTTTCTTGGATTTTTTTTGCAACTGAAACAAATTTCAATAGTGTGGCTTTATTTTTTTGCAATGGGTTATTGCATTACAAGCCTTAATTTGCTACACGAAACCAAAACCTTCCCAATGTGGAAACGAGAACGCGAATGTCTAATCGAATGTGTAAACGAATGTCGCATTGTCAATTGCGGAGCATTGCTATCTCATCTTTAAAGTTACTTAAATCGAAAATTATGTAGCCATAATAAACTTTTTTAAACGAGTTTGGAAGGATCTAAAAAATCAATCAAAGAAATTAATTTAGATAATTCATTTAGCCCTTGCTAAATTTTAAAGAGATTTTGAATTAACTTTGTTGCATTTTATTTTTCCATGCCATACTATTTGATTTTATTGTTTGGAAAAGAAACTCACATCTGGCAGGAGAAAATTCTTCACTCCTGTTCCACCATCGTTGGTGGGGATAGTGAAAAAGCATTTGTCTGCACTGGCAATGCGTGCAATGTATGTTGGTATATTCAAATACTGAAATGTAATAAAATTATCATAATTCAATTGAATCAATCATTCATTGAGAACAGGTCTTTTAGCTATTGTGATTACACGATCAGCAGAATAACAGCTGAAGACCACGAAAGCAGCAACATTGTTTGGGATGGTGGTTAATCGTTTCCTGGGCGATCCCATTTTTGAATGGTTTCATTTGCAATGGCTTTGATGGTTTTTGTGTAAGCAGAAGACCATGCTGACCAACTTGTTTGGTGAAAGAGTAGAGTAGAATTATACAACACTTAAACTACTGCATTGAAACCAAACATCAAACATCTCACAGCATTTTCCAGAGAAGTTGAAAGAAGATGCAATTTAGAAGTTGAGTATAGCTGTAGCTTTGCAAGATACGAAAATAAAAAAGAGTTTTTTTACAGCATACGGATCCCCTTGAAATAGCCAACAAAGTTTCAACTAGTCTTCTCGACTCGCTGCCAATGCTGGTTCCAAGTGTAATTTCAGAACATTGGCGACATGGCGCATGAAAAACAAAGAACATAGTGTATCAAATGTTTTATGTTGCTTTATATTTATCATGCACAATTGTCAGTTAATATCAAGCTAATCACTTTGCTTTTCTTACTATGGCTTTACTGTTATTCTTGTTATCAAAATAGTAAGCTACTTCGTTAATAGGGAAAATACAAACCATAAAGGGAAAATAATATAGTCATGGCTATTTTGTCTATGTCTATATTATCTTGGTACAAAATAGCATTTTCTAAAGTTTGTACCTTGATCTCAGCAGAGTATGATTCCAGTAGACGCTGGACTTTATCTTTTCAGCTAAATCTGTCAACACAGAAAAATTGAGAGTAATTGTTTAGCACAGACGGTTGTACTGTACTGCACAAAAATAATCTTGCTCTCTAATTGAGAATAACCCATTCCGCAATTAAAAAACTTATTGTTGAAGAGTTAATCAAAAGATTATAAGAATAACCAAAAACTACTGGGAGCCAAAACAATACAATAATTATGCCATAATTATGAATGTTGTCTCAGTCAATATACCTCTATTAGAAATAGGCATCAGATTGGCTGAAATATAGAATGCCAAAGACATCCGCTTTTTGAACAGCTGACTTGAGTAAATGTGTCATTGAAGGCATGTTCTTCCCGTGAGTGTGTGACTCAAAGTTCTCTAAATACGCTGTTCTATGCAAAATAATGTGTGGAAGAAAGCTTCCTTTTCCGTTGTATTTCCAATAAAATATTTTAAGTGGGTGTATTGGGTATTATGAGATCTTTCCTTTAAATTATCTTGCTTTGCTCAATGAAAATTTATACTGAGTTTTGCAAAAGTACGTATTACAAATATCAACATGAGTAAGAGAAAGGAGAGTTGTTGTATTGGAAGCTGCAATAATAAGTCTTGGCTTTCAGATAAATGGTGTGTGAGGGGCCACGTTGTAAATTTGAAATTTCATGCTTTTCCAAAAAATTCGAACAAATTTCATCAATGGGAAAATGCAGTTGCAAAGGGCAGCCTGGACTACAAGATTTGTAAGTCATCTCGAGTTTATTCTAACCATTTTACTGATGGCAAACCTACATTCCAAAACCAATTCCCAATATTATGTTTGACATCAAGTGAAAGTGCTGAGAAAAGGACTGAATTTAATCGTTCACGGAAAAAGTGAAGAAAATTAAAGAGACAAACAACGAAAACCCCCGAAAGCATCAGAAAGTCCATGTCATTGTCAGCATCAGAAAGTCCCAAAAAGAGCAAAAGCGCAGAGCCAGAACTTAGATTGAATTTCTGTTTCAGTCAGCTGACAAGGGAATCTGACATTCGATTTTATACTGGCTTCAAATCGGCAAAATTGTTTCAAGG